ACTGTGTTGGCCAGGCTGGTCTTGAACTCCTGACCTCATGATCCGCCTGCCTTGTCCTCCCAAACTGCTATGATTACAAGCGTGAGCCACCACACCCAGCCCAGATGAAATATTCTGATGGCTACTAACTGGAGCCTCATCCCTCTGCTCATACAGAGCTTGGAGTTGTCCTGAAGAGGAAGGGGAGAGAGCTCACCTGCCAGCTGACAGGACCACAGCGGACTTAAACTCGAGCTCTCATCCATGGTTCCCGGCTCGTAACTCCTACAGTCCTTGTGATAGTCTTTTGTTATAATGTTGGGGCACTTTAGGCCTCAGAAGCAGGACTCGGGAGACAGAATCTCTCTCTTGAAACTTCTCCTGCCCCCCTTTCACCTGCCCAAGGCCAGACCCTAATCTGAGTGTGGGTCATAAGACCTCACCCCAGAGAAAGCTCCTGCCCTATACCCTGGAGGAACAGCCAAAAAGAGTCTGGACAGGCCTTGCGGGGTCTCCCCACCCCGTCTCTTAGTATTAGATCACACCCTTTTTGTCTAATGGCATTTCCACATGGTTGTCCATCCTTTAACCATGTCAATCCAATGAAGTCTTCATAAAAGGCCCAAGAGGACAGGGTTAGGGGAGCTTCGGGACAGCTGACCACGCGCAGCCTGACAGGAAGGTGAACAAGAACTCATCCATGTGCCGGGAGGAAACTCCATGGGGATAGAAGCTCTTGTGCTTGGGACCCTTCCAGATCTCACCCTACGCATCTCTTCATGCGGCTGTTTATTTGTAGCCCATAAAATATCCTTTGCAGTGAGAAGAGGCAAAAGGCTGCATCCGCTCAGCCCTGCAGGGTCAGGAGAAGCCCCTGGGCATGACTATACTTCAGCCACCAAGTCCTCTATCCCACAGGTGGGGGTCCTCAGAGGGCCACGGTAGCCGGAGCCCTCGACCTCTCTTGGCTCCCCAGGGTGTCTGTGGACAGCGCACCTTCTGGGGGCCCTGAAGCCTGCAGAACCCCTCTTGCTTGCCTGGATTGGCAGGGGGGACATGGCTGCCAAGAGTCCCATTCGAGGCCTGGTAGGGAATGGTGCAGGGTCTGAACTTGACCCTTCTCACTCTCCCAGGGACTACAGTGGAGACCCCAAAGAGAACCCTGCCCTCAGAGCAGAACGCCAGGGCAGCTCCCCTCCTTTTTGGGGAGAGGAGGGACATTTCAAGCAGGGGTCCCAGCAGTGGGGAAAGGGAAGTGGGGGTGCACACCACGAGGGGCTGTAGACGCCGGGCCCAAAGCATCTCCTATGGGCCATGAGACCTGCGGCAGGGCCATATTTCCAGGGGCTGGCATGAAGGAAGGGTTGCAGGGAGGGACTGGGGCGGGTACCTGCACCCAGGACGGAATCGTACGTCCCTGGCCCTTCCCCGTCCCCTGTCAAAAGAGGCCAGTCGAGGGCCAGGCCTGGGCCTGAGCCACCCCGCTGGCCCCACTCCACTAAATGCAGTGCCTGGCACCTAAGAGCAACAATAAATATGTACTGGCCAAGGATGTGGTGGCGCACAGGGGTCGGGGAAGGAGGCCGAGAGATGCTTGCAAGTGAGATAAGTGGCAGGAGGGTGAATGGGAAGTGGGGTGGGGGGTGGCCTGTGGCCAGTGTCCTGGTTCTAGAGTTCGGGGCTTCCCCTAGACTTTCCCGGATTCAGCCCCACCCTGATGAGGACCCACAATCCTGGCTCCCCCTCCGCGATCCCGCCCTGTCAGGACTGGGGACGCAGGCTGAGGCCTCTGCTGGTCTCCCCCGCCTCCCTCCTAGCTCCCAGCGGGTTTAGGGTGGGCCTGGCTCAGATCTCCCATCCCCATGGGCTGCCCCACGACATGGACCCTCAGAATTTCTTCCCACCACCCCTAGCACAACCACAGATGGCCTGACAGATGGACAGAGGCTGAGCCCAGAGGGGCGTCTGCCCAGGCCTGGCTGCAGCCAGATGGACAGACAGATGGGGGCACAGAAGGGCAAGGAAGCATACCTGCTGCGGGTCCAGGCCCGGGTCGGGGGCTGTCGCCAGGAGCAGCAGGGCCCAGGGCAGGAGGGCTGGCTTCATGGTGCAGTCTGTGTCTGCAGCGAGCAGTGTAGTGGCTCCGAGGCAAGGTGGCCAGACAAGCTCACTCCCCGCCAGCCTGGCCCCACTTGCCCTGCACTCTGTGCACTGCCCCGCCCTGCCCTGCCCTTCCCCACCTAGTCCCCTTTCAAAGTCCACAAGTGCTTGCATGGACAAGCAGGGCCCAACCTGCCCCATTAGCACATTCCTGGCCAGCAGGCCTGGGACAGAGCAGGGGGCCGGACCTTGGCCCTGGAACCCTGTGGGAGGGTGAGGAGGCTGGAGCCTCCAGCTGTAGGGCCTTTGGCAGGCGATAAGCTGTATGTCCAGAAGCCAAAGCTCAGACCCTGGGTCCCACCCCCACTCTGCATGCAGGGCGTGCCAGGCGGGGCTGCAGCAGAGGATGGGATGCACAGGGTGGGTAAGGCAGGGCTGTTTAAGCTCCAGGCAGGATTCTAGCCTCTGTGGCCCTGACATTGACCTCCATCTCTAGCCCTCATCTTCCTGCAGGAAGGAGGTGCTCCCAGCTCATCCTCCCGGGGATGCGGGAGCTGTTTGGGTCAGACACAGGCTGAGCCCTGGGGCTGAGGCAGCTCTGCAGGGGACCCCTCTGGAGGGAGGAAGGAGGGAGGGGAGAGGAAGTACTCAAGCCCAGCTGGGGGGCCAGAAGGGAGACAGGGTCCATCCCCGGGCTCCAGAGATGCCACCACACTGGGGAGCCTTGGCTCTCCCAGTCACACCTAATCCTGCCACTCAGAGTTTGCATAGTCTAATCAATCTGCTCCCCTTCTTGAGCAGATGAGGAAGCTGAAGCTCAGATGTGGACAGGCAAGGTCAAGCCAGGCCCATGGTGGCTTCTGGGAGCCCCTGCAGCCAGGGTGGGCGGTAAGGGCTGTGGCCTGGGATTGGTCACTTGGGCCCTGCCATCTGGGCTGGATGTCCAGACAGGCGGGTGGTCCTCTCCCAGCTGCAGCTTCTCAAGGTGTCCAAAAGGGACTCTTGCCACACTTGCAGGGAGTCAGAGCTGGCCCCAGGGCATGATCTGGTCTCTGATCTGCACAGCACTTGGGGCCAGGCCAGTCCATTGTTCCCCGGCCTGTTCTCTCTCTTGCCTGGGTGGTGCCTGCTGGGAACCACAGGGTGTTGGCAGCCACCTGTGGCTCCAGAGGGGTGGCCCTTACTGAAGGTGTTAGAGGCGTGCGCTGGGGGACTTGGCTCCTGAGTCCCCACACACAGCTGTTCCAGGGAAGCCACACCCACATTTGATGTCTTCCCACCTCCCAAAGACATTTGGTGAGAGGCCCTCAAGACCTTCAGCTTCTCAGGGACTGTTTCCAGAGGGGAGAAAGTCCCTTAACCCACAATGGCGCTCAGGGCATCTCTGCAGGTGAGTGTCCTGTGAGTGGACACTCAGGTGCTGAGCCAGGGAGAGCCTGTCTCCTGATCCCAGGCTGGTGAGGGCACTCATCCCGGGCCCAGGGCTGAGGTTTCTCCCTACAGCACTGGGTGCAGGGGAGGGTCTGAGGTGTCCGTCCTCCTGTAGGTGAGGCTCCGGGGAAGGGTGCTAGGGGGTCGGCTGGGAGAGCTCCTGCTTCCTGTTTCTTCCCTTGCTGCACATGTCTGGAGACGATGGAAGTGCGGTAGGGGCTAGGTGGGCAGTCTGGGAAGCTCCTTACCCCAGGCCCTGCAGGGAGGGGGCGTCAGCTGAGTAACTGCGGCCGGCCGGCTCATCTCAGCCCTCCGAAGGCGGGTTCAGCCAGAACCATCTAGGGCCACCAAGCCTCTGGTTCCACAAGGGCGGTGCCCAGCCCTTTACGCCTTCCTTCCTGGGTGGTGGGCGTGTCCAGCCCATGAGGGGCACAGGGCAGTGAGGAGGGTCCCCATCTCCATCCTGGACAGAGAGCCTGCTCCTTGGGAGGTCCCAGGGGCCAGGAGGGCCCCTGTGGTGCTGGGAGGGGAAGAGAGTGGTGAAGGGTGGGTTTGGGCCCCTGGAATCTGTGCATTCCCAAGACAGATGGGCCTGGAGCCTTCAGGGACGGGGCCAGCTCTAGGGACTTGTTTAATGCTCTGTGGGGGCTGCCTTAAAATCCTCAATCATTTTTGGTCAGGCATGGTGGCTCACGCCTGTAATCCCAGCATTTTGGGAGGCCAAGGTGGGTGGATCACTTGAGGTCAGGAGTTTGAGACCAGCCTGGCCAACATGGTGAAACTCCGTCTCTACTAAAAATACAAAAATTAGCTGGATGTGGTGGCATTTGCCTGTAGTCTCAGCTACTCAGGAGGCTGAGGAAGGAGAATCCATTGAACCCAGGAGGTGGAGCTTGCAGTGAGCTGAGATCACGCCACTGCACTCCAGCTTGGGAGACAGAGTGAGACTCCGTCTAAAAGAAGAAAAAAAAAAATCCTTAATCATTTTTGAACAAAGGGCTCCATATTTGCTTCCTGCACTGAGCCCCACAGCCATTCTCTGACCGGCCCTGTTAGGGCGACGGTGATGGGACTAAGTGCCCTCTCTGCCGGCCCCATCCCCCTTTCCCTCCCTGACAGCCCCCTCCTCCCAGCCTCTCAGCAGCCCCAGCCCTGCCTGCCCTCCCACCTTACAACCTCCCACCCAGGAGGTTGAGGCTGCAGTGAACCGTGATTGCACCAATGCACTTCATCCTGGGCCACAGAGTGAGACCCTGCCCAAACAAAAAGAAAATAAGAACTTCACGGGGGGAGGTCCACATACATAGACTGGGGAGTTCCTGCTCCCTGGTGTCGAACAACACGCCCTTACCCTTGCTAAACAGACTGGGCTGATGCGGACCATGAGGTGGATCATCCTGCACTGTGCACTGTGACTGGCAGGGGGCGCTGAAACTGCCTTTTCTGCGCCACATGGTGCGCATGCGTGTTCTCACCGCAGAGGCTTCGTGGCGTGCGTGGCGCGGCGTCCATAATGGAAAGATGGAGAATGGCTCCCGTTCCTTCCGGACCCGCTTGAGGGCGCACTGCGGCGGCGTGGGGATGACTTGGAGACTCGTCTCGGGGAGGAAACTGCTGCTGTCTGTGGCCCTGACTGCTTAGGTGGGAGCTGCGTGCGCTCAGCGTTTCCAGGGCACTTTTTTCTACACGGTGACTACAGAAGCTTGTTTCCTGGAACTTTCTCTTTATGCTCACCTTCTCACTAGTTTTCCTCTTTCTCTCATAGTATTTTAGTATTTATTTTACCATTAATTTTGTTCCCTGAGGACTTTTGAGGGTGGCAAGTGTAGCGGACTGTGGTATTTTTGGGGTTTGAGGACTTTTTCTGAGGGAACCTGTCCCATATAGATGGGGAGAGAGGAAAGCCCCAGGAGGAAGGGGAAGCCCGGCCCAGGTGGGAGTTGGGGCCAGGCCTGGGTGTTTGGCTGCCTCCTGGTCAGGCCTCAGACGGAGGAAAAAAGATCCCAGCGGCCTCCAGGATTTGATGAATTTTTAAATTTGCCTTCCCGCCATCGGGACACATCACCAATCCCCTGCCCCCAAAGAAGCCTGTGTCCCCTCCTGTCCATCCGGACACGACCACCTGACCGGGAGGGAGGGACACCCGGGTGCGAGCCTGACGGAGACTTGCCCATGATGACGGTGATGCTGAGGACCTGGTTCTGTCCATGCTGCTCAGTGTTATGTCTCCTGTGCAGAAATGTCTGTGCTGGGTCCCTGCCCAGTTTGGGGTTGATGATCTTGTTGTTATTGCTGTTGGGCGCTGTGAAGGTATTGCGTATTTTTTGTAACAATCCCTTAGGAGATACATGCTTCCCCCAAACTTTCTCCCCATTTGTAGGATTAGTTTTCATTTGGTTCACTGTTTTCTTTCTGTACAGAAGCTTTCCAGTTGGATGTAGCCCCACATGGTTGTTTTTGCTTTTGTTACCTGTGATTCGCTTTCCCAATTTAAAAAATAAATATATTCACAAGCCATTCCATTCTTGACGAGGTTTTACCCCTCTGCTTTTTTTTTCCCGTTTTTTCTTTTCCCGTTTCCAAACTGTGAGCCTAGATGCAGGTTGCCCCAAAACTGAGTGCTCCACCAGGTCCCCCACCCCCTTTTTTCTTACAGACGTTTGATGATAATGTATAATTTCAGGTCTTGTGTTCAGGTCTTCAGTCCATTTCGAGTTGATTTTTGTGTATTGTATACCAGAAGGGCCATATTTCCTTCTTTTTCATAGAAACATCAGTTTTCTTGAAACCATTTAATGAAAAAATCTCCTATCCCCATTGAGGCTTTGTGATCTCTGATACTGTTTTCATTTGCTCTGGAGGTATACCCAGTAGTGGGATTGCTGGGTCATACGGTAGTTGCATTTTCAGTTTTTTGAGGAATCTACCACTTTTTTTCTTTTCTTTTCTTTTCTTTTTTTTTTTGAGACAGTCTCACTCTGTCATCCAGGCTGGAGTACAGTGGCGCGATCTCATCTCACTGCAAAGGCTGCCTCCTGGGTTGAAGCGATTTTCCTGCCTCAGCCTCCCAGTAGCTGGGACTACGGATGCATGCCACCACGCTTGGCTAATTTTTTGTATTTTTAGTAGAGACGGGGTTTCACTGTGTTAACGAGGATGGTCTTGATCTCCTGACCTGGTGGTCTGCCTGCCTCAGCCTCCCAAAGTGCTGGGATTACAGGCGTGGGCCACCGCGCTTGGCCTACAACTTTTTTCCATAGTGTATATCCTAATTTATCTTTACAGCAATAGTGTATAAGATTTCCCCTTTATCCAAATCCACACCAGCATTCTTAAGATATTTTCAGTAACATGTATTCCAGTAGGTGTGGGATGGTATCTGAATGTGGTTTTGGAGTACATTCTTTTCTGATGAATAATAATGTTGAGGACCTTTTCTCTTACATGTTTGTGCATTTTATGTCATTTTTGCAGTGATGTCTATTCAGGTTTTTTGCCCAGTTTTAGTTTGGATATGTGTTTTTTAATGCTATTTGATATATTTTTTTCTGTGTACATGTTTGATAACAACCCGTTATCACTTCTATGGTTCCCTCCTATTTTCTCACAATCTTTTTCTTTTTTGAGACAGGTCACTCTCACCCAAGCTGGAGCACAGTGGCACATCACAGGACCATGCAGATTGGAATATTGGCTACCTATAGCTTTGCAATGCAATTTGATGTCAGTAATTGTAAGTCTTCCAACTTAGTTTGTATTTCTCAGGATTCCTTAGATGTTCAGGGCTGTTTGTGGTTCCATGTTAATATTAGCATTGTGTATTTACGCTTTTTTTTCCTTTTTTTTTTTGGACAGAATGTTGCTCTGTCGTCAGGCTGGAGTGCAGTGGCGTGATCTTGGCTCACTGCAACCTCCATCTCTGGGGTTCGAGCGATTCCCCTGCCTCAGCCTCCTGAGTAACTGGGACTACAGGTGTGCACCACCATGACTGGCTAATTTTTTTTTTTTTTTTTGTATTTTAGTAGAGACGGGGTTTCATCATGTTGGGCAGGATGGTCTAGATCTCCTGACCTTGTGATTCACCCACCTCGACCTCCAGAAGTGCTGGGATTACAGGTGTGAGCCACTGCGCCTGCCCACCTTTTTTTTTTTTTTGAGACAGAGTCTCCCTCTGTCGCTAGGCTAGAGTGCAGTGGCGTGATCTCAGCTCACTGCCACCTCTGCCTCCTGGGTTCAAGCAATTATCTGGCCTCAGTCTGTTGAGTAGCTGGGATTACAGGCATGCACAACCATGCCCAGCTAATTTTTGTATTTTTACTAGAGACAGGGTTTCACTGTGTTGGCCAGGCTGGCCTCGAACTCCTGACCTTGTGAGCCACCATGCCTGGTCTAGAATGCCTAGGATACTTTCTCTTTGGGTTCATTTGTTCTCTCCTGTGCAGAGGCTCTAATGTTGTACTTAGTCTCTCTTGTTTATATTTGCATTTGTTGGCAGTGATTTCAGTATCCCATCCAGAAAAAGAGATTGTTAGGCCATTTTATTGTCTACAAGTATTTATCCCCTCATTTTTCCTTCTCTTTTTCTTTTTTCTTTTTGCAACCTGTGTGCACAGGGTCAAGTTTCCCCCAAATATATGCTTATCCCATGTTTTCTCCTTGGAGTGTTTTGCTTTCAGGATTGAATTTAACTGTTTTATTTTTCATAGATTTTTGTGTATTGGGCAACATAGGGGTGCTAGTTCAATCTCGTGCACATGACTACCCAGTTTTCTCAACTGTTGTGCCTTTGGTGTGCTTTTGAAAAATGTCTGCCCTAAATATAATTTTGGGTTGATTACTTGGCTCCCTCATTTTGTCCATTCGGTTGTCTTTCTATGTTTATGCCGGTCAGTGATTGCTTGGATGACTGTAGGTTTTGTTTTATCTATCATCCATGTATCTACCTATCTGTCTGCAATATATCCTAATCCTTTTTTTTGTTTGTTTGTTTGAGACAGGTTATCGCTCTGTCACCCAGGCTGGAGTTCAGCACTGCAGTCTTGGCTTATTGCAGCCTTGACCTCTGGGGCTGAAGTCTTCCCTCACAACTTCCCAAGTAGCTGGGACTATAGGTGCGCACCACCATGCCCCACTAATTTTTTTGTACTTTTTGTAGAGGTAGATTTTGCCATATTGCCCATACTTCTCTCGAGCTCCCGGGCTCAAGTGATCTGCCTGCCTCAGCCTTCCAAAGTGCCATGATTACAGGCAGGAGCCACTGTGGCTGGGGCAACCCTGTTTTAAAATATATATATAATCGACTTATTTTGATTAAATTGCAGGTTAGTTACATGTGAACATTTGATGACATAGAGGCTTATGGCCTCTGACCCCATCACCCAGGCAGTGAACAAAGTGCCAATGAGGTGGTTCTTCCGCCTGCACCCCCTTTCTGCCTCGTTTTTTCATCTGATAGTCCCCAGTGTCTATTGTTTCCATCTTTATGTTTGAATGTATTCACTGTTTAGCTCCCACTCATAAGTGAGAACATGGAGTATTTGGTTTTCTGTTCTTGCGTTGGTTTGCTGACCATAATCCCCATGTCTATCCATGCTGCTTAGGACATGATTGTGTGTTCTTTTTATGGCTGCGTAGTATTTTATGGTGTGTATGCACCACATTAAAAAAAAAATGTCAAATCCGCTGTTGCTGGTCACCTAGGATGCTTCCACGTCTTTGTTCTTGTGAACGGCATGGCAATGAATGCAGAAGAACATGTGTCTTTTTGAAGAAGGATTTATTGTTTTTTGGGTAGATACCAAGTGTAGTGGAATTGCTGGGTTTGATGTTAGTTCTGTTTTAAGTTTTTTGAGAATCTCTAAACTAGTTTCTACGGTGTGAACTGGTTTTCACGTTGACCAAGAGTGTAGCAGCGTTCCCTTTCCTTTGCTGCCTCCCAGCATGTTTTGACTTTGGAAAAATGCCCATTCTGACCAGCGTGAGATGGTATCTCATTGTGTTTGGGAGTTGCATTTCACTGATGATTAGTGACATTGTGCATTTTTTCATGTCGGTTGGTCACTTGAACATCATCTTCTCTTTTTTTTTAAATTTATTTTTATTTTTTTATTTTATGAGACAGTGTTTCGCTTTGTTGCCCGGACTAGAATGCAGTGGCGTGATCTTGGCTCACTGCAACCTCCGCCTCCCGGGTTCAAGTGAGTCTCCTGCCTCAGCCTCCCAAGTACCTGGGATTACAGGCGTGTGCCAAGACGCTAATTTTTATATATTTAGTAGAGATGGGGTTTTACCATGTTGGCCAGGCTGGTCTCGAACTCTTGGCCTCAAGCTATGTGGCTGCCTCAGCCTCCAAAAGTGCTGAGATTGCAGGCGTGAGCCACCATGCTGAGCCTGTTTCCTTAAATTTCTTTACAAAAATTTACCCTATGGTAAAAGTGTACTACCAGAGAGTAGAATGAGACACTTTGGTCCGTGCGTACATTGTGTAATGATGAAATCAGGGTGTTTAACATCTCTCTTGCCTCACAGAGTTATTATTCCTTTGAGGTGAAGACATTTGGAATCCTCTTTTCTAATTTTCTTGAAAACTACACTCTAATAATGTTAAACCTAGTGACTTTGCTGCTGTGGAATAGAACTACAGGTTTCATTCCTTTCATGGAATATGTAACTTTGTACCCATTTCCAATCCCTGACCGTGCCCCACCTTTGAACCCTAAACTGTGGTAAAACAGTTATGCTTACTAGTTCTAAGAGATAAAGTTTTTTAGGTTGCTCCTGGGTGAGTCGATGTGGTTTGTCTTTTACTGCATAGTTATTTCTTCTCTTTTATTTTACTTATTTATTTATTTATTTAGAGATAGTGTCTGGCTCTGGTTGCTCAAACTGGAGTTCAGTGGTGCGATCTTGGCTCACTGCATCCATGACCTCCTGTGGCTCAGGTGATTCTCCCATCTCAGCTTATCCAGTAGCTAGGACTTTTGAGACATGTCTCTTCAGGTGCATTGTCCAGCTTTGGCTGGGATACTTGGTTTTGCATGTTTCGCTTCTTAGTAGCATTAGTTTCTTGTGCATACCATGTAACAATCTCTTTCAGATAAATGATTCCTCATCATGCCCTCCCTATATGAAGAATGCCTTCTCATTGTTGATTGGTTCATTGCTTCCTTTACCATGCCGTAGTTCTTAAGTTTTCTTTTTCACATGTTGAGTTTTCCTTTTGTTAGCAACGATTTTGGGTCAGGCCAGAAAGAAAATCACAATTTTGATGCATTTCATTGATTTTGAGTGTATTTTCCATATATTTCCTAACTACTTTTTGTTTTTGCAACCTATGAGCATAGATTAAGTTGCCCTGAACTTCCACTCACTCTGTGTTTTCCTGTAGAAGTTTTATGCTTTTGGGTCTTGTGTTTAGGTTTTCATTTATTTCGAGTTGGTATTTGTGTATTGTGTAACATAAGGGTCCTATTTCGTCCTTTTTCATGTGAATATCCAGTATTTTCAGATTCATTAATTGAACAGACATCCCACTCCTCATTGCGTCTTCCAGGCATTCTTTTGAAAAACGTGTTGACTCCATACAGGCATACGTTTAGGTTCTGTTATGTCCGCATGGTTTCACTGTTACGTCTTTACCATAGTCTTTGGATGAGTAGATCTTTTCCATGTAATTTGAAATTGAACAGTGTGAGGCCTCCAAACGAGGTTGTATTTCCTAGGATTGCTTTGCATGTTCAGAGTCTATGGTAGTTCCATGTGAATTTTTAGTTGTGCGTAGTTACATTTCATGACAAGTTTGGTTCATACTGCATGTCCAGAATTAGGGGTACAATGGGGAGATTGTGGTACTAGTGTACCTTACATAAGGATAAAGGATAAACTTGAGGTTTCCATGTTTTGTGAGTTTCCAGTATTTTCAAAATCATTTACAGAATGGACTAGCTGTTTCCCAGTTTATTTGTCTGGGATTCTTTTTTTTTTTTTTTGAGATGGAGTTTTGCTCTTTTGCCCAGGCTAGAGTGAAGTGGAAGTGGTGTGATCTCAGCTCACTGCAACCTCCATCCCCAGGATCCAAGCAATTCTCCCGCCTTAGCCCCCGAGTAGCTGGGATTATAGGCACACACCACCATGCTGGCTCATTTTTGTATTTTTATTTTATTAGAGACGGGGCTTCACCATGTTGGCCAGACTGGTCTCAAACTCCTGACCTCAAGTGGTCAGCCTGCTGTGGCTTCCCAAAATGTTGGGATTACAGGCGTGAGCCACCATGCCCAGCCTTTTGAGAAATCTATTGACTGTAAGTACATTCAGATTTGTCTGTTGGCTGCCTGATATTGTCCAGTGGCATATGTTTCTTATTTTTATGCCAGTTCCTTGCTGCCTCAGTAAGTATAGCTTTTCGATGTCGTTTGACATTGGGGAGCATGAGGCATTCAAGTGAGTTTCTATTTCTGGGAAGTGCTTTGGATTTTCCGGGTCTTCCATGGTTGTCTGTGAATTTTGCCATTGTTCATTTACAATTTTAAAATTGGGTTTGTCATACATGTCCAAAATTAGGGGGTACAGTGGGATTTTGTTTACTTGCATACTTTGAGGAATGATGAAGTCAGGGTGTTTTGCATATCTATTCCCATGTCTAGTTTTTATTTATTTGTGGTGTGAACCTTCAGTGTTCCTCTCCTTTCTAGCTCTATTGAAAGAGATCCTACTGTATTGTTACTTGTAGTCACCCTCCTGTGGAGTAGATCACCAGCATTAATTCCTCCCCTGGAAATGCAGCTTGGTACCTATTACCAATGCCAGCCCATGCCCTCTCCTCCCCCCAGCGTCTGATAACCACTATTGTACTTTCACTTTCCATTAGGTAATTCTTGTTTAGTCTCCTCATGGGTGAGATGATGCAGTGTTTGTCTTTCCCTGCCTCACTGATTCCATTGAATATAACGTCTTCCAGGTTTATCCGTGTTGCCACAAAGGATGTTATGTCATCAATGTTTGTTGATGGGGTGTATTTTGTTGTGTCTGTATGCTGAAGTTCCTTCATCCCTTCATCAGTTGATGGACAGGTAGGTTGATTGCTTATCTTGGCTATTGTGTGTAATGCTTCGGTCAACCTGGGAAGGCAGCTATGGCTTCCTTCCATGCAGTGATTTCACTGTCCCTAAGTATATACCCACTGCTGGAATTGCCAGATGAAATGGTAGTTTTCTTTTTGATTGTTTGGGAAGCTCCAAGAGGTTTTCGTAGTGCCTATAGTAACAGTGATTTCTCCCGATAGTGCATGAGAGTATCTTTGTATGCACCTCCCTCTGGGGAATTTGTTTGAAATAATTGGTTTCTTTTTTTCAAATTAGAGTGAGTCTGTACCTGAGTGTGATTTTCAGTTACAGTTTAGAGATGGCTAGTAATGTTGAGAACCACCTTTTTTATGTGTTAGTGAATTGCACATTGTCTTTTCAGTGATGTCTGTTCAGGTTTGTTGTCCAGTTTTGGCTGGGTTCCTTGGTTTTGTTTTGTTCCTCAGTGGCGTGTTAGTTTCTTCTGAATGTCAGATAATCCCTTTCAGATACTTGATTCCTTGTAATGTCCTTTCTATCTGAAGAATGCCTTCTGAGTGTTGGTTGGTGCATTGTTTTCTTTACTGTGCAGTATTTCTTCAGGTTTTTTTTTTTTACTGGTTGATTATTATTTTAGTTCACAGTAATTATTCTTGTAAGATATAGTCAATAATAAAAACAAGAATTTTTGACTTCTATTATTGGAAGTGTTTTCCTTCTGTTGTTTTTCTCACTATTTAACATTGATTTAGGTTTTTTGAAACTTAAGCTCACTCTGTTTTCCTGTAGGCATTTGATGCTTTGGGGTCACGTGTTTAGGTTTTTAATTTGTGAGCCACAGCACCCAACCTCATTGCATCTTGTAGGCGTTCTTTTGAGAAAAATGTGTTGACTGCATACAGGCATACGTTTAGGTACTGTTATGTCCATAGGTGCATGGTTTCTTTTTATGCCACTGCCGTAGTCTTTGGATAAGTAGAGTTTTTACCTGTAATTTGAAGATGAAGAGTGTGAGGCCTCCAAACTAGTTTGTATTTCCTAGGATTGCTTTGCATATTCAGGGTCTTTGGTGGTTCCGTGTGAATTTTTAGCTGTGTATAGTTAACGTTTTGTAAAACGTGTGGTTCATACCACATGTCCAGAATTAGCAGTGAATGGGACATTTTGATACTTGTATATCTTGCATAAGGATAGAATCAAGAAGTTTCTTGTGCCTGTGACCATGTATAGGTCTTATATCTTTGAGGTGTGAACATCGGTATCTCCTCCTTGGTAGCTATTTTGAGAAAGACACAACCATATTGTTACACACAGTCTCCCTGCTGTGGAGTAGAATACCAGAATGTATTCTTCTCCTTTAACTCTCTGCATACCTATTGCCAATCCTTGCCTGTGTCCTCTCCTCTACCCAGCCTGTGGTGACCACTACTGTATTTCCACCTTCAGTGAGTAAAATTTTTCAGCTCCCACATGAGTGAGAACATGCAGGGTTGATCCTTCTCTTTTCTCTGCCTTTCTGATTTGATTGAACATATCTTGCAGGTGCAGCCGTGTTGTGGGAAAGAGAAAATGCCCTGAATTTTGATGGCTGAAAAGTATTCCATTGTGCCTGTGTCCTGAAGATTCTTCATCCCTTCATCTGTGGATGGACAGGTAGGTTGATTCCATCTTTTGGCTATTGTCAGTAGTGTGTCAAGAAAGAAGAGAAGGAAGCTTTGTCTCCAGCATATGAATTTCATTTGCTTTCCATGGATAACCATGGGTGGGATGATGACATTACATGTTAGGCGCATGTTTAATTTGTTCAGGGACCTTCCAGTGTTTTTCCTAGATCACATCCTAATTAAAGTTCCACCCAGTAGTGTGTAAGATTATCCCTTTCTTTGCCTTCTCACCAGCCTTTGCCTTATTTCAAGCACAGTCTTTCTTTTTGGCAATATTGATATCAGTTGGATTGAGATGGTGCCTGAGTGTGGTTTTCATTTACATGTTTGAAATGAGTTGATCTCAAACAGTGATGTTGAGAAACCCATTCTTTTACCTGTTTTTTTGTTTTTGTTTTGTGGAGACAGTTTCTCTCTTGTTGCCCAAGCTGAAGTGCAATGGCGCCATCTCAGCTCACTGCAACCTCCATCTCCTGTGTTCAAGTGATTCTCCCTCCTCAGCCTCCTGAGTAGCTGGGAGTAGAGGTGTGTGCCCCCATACCCGGGTAATTTTTGTATTTTTAGTAGAGATGGGGTTTCACTACGTTGGCCAGGCTAGTCTCGAATCCCTGACTTCAGGTGATCTGCCTTACTCAGCCTCTCAGTGTACTTGGAATCCAGGCGTGAGCCCCTGCATCCGGCTCTTGTACCTGTTAACTCATTTCATGTGTACTTATCCAAAGTGACTACGCAGATTTCCTGCCGAGTTTTTGCTGTGTTACTCAGGTTCCTTGCCCAATTTTCATTGGTTGTGTGTGTTTTCATTGATAGTAGTGTTAGTTTCTGGTAAGTGTTCAATACAAACCTCCCTCTGATATGTAATTACTTACCAGTTTCTTCCAATGTGTACTATGCCTGCTGTTTCACTTGTTTTTTTTTCTTTCTATTCCAGTGAAGAAGCTCTTCATTTTTGGTCTGTTACATGTTTCTTTTGTTGGCAGTGGTTTTGTGTTTACTCAAGAGAAATACTAATTTCTGTTTCTTTCCCTTGGCAGTGAGTATATTTTTTTGATTTTCTTAATCTTCCTTTCTCTTAGCCAACCGTGATGATAGGTTCAGGTTTCTCTAAGCTAATGCTCACCTTCAGTTTTCTCAAAGAAATTTTAAGCTTGCAGGTCTTGTGTTTGTTTGTGGAAGTGATTTTGCATGGATTTCTGTGTGTCATGGAAAACAAGGTTTTATTTAATTCTTTTGTGTGTGGATTTCCCATTTCCTCAAAGCCATTGACAGAATGAACTAGTCATTTCCCATTTTATTCGGGGTTCTTTTTAGAAATCTGTTGACTATAAGTACATTTATTTTTGTTGCTTGGATGCCTAATACTGTCCAATGGCGTATGTTTCTCTTTTTATGCCAGTTCCTTGAGCTTGAATAAGTATAGCTCTTCAGTGTAATTTGACATCGAGGAGGGTGAAGCCTTCAAATGAGTTCCTATTTCTGGGAATTGCTTTTGGATTTTCAGGGTCTTCCATGGTTCTATGAATTTTAGCATTGTTCATTTATAGTTTTAAAATTAAGTTTGTAATACATGTCGAAAATTAGGGAGTACAGCAGGTTATTTTCCTACATGTATATCCTTGAGGAATGATGAGAGCTGCATGTTTTGCATGTCTATTCCCATGTCTAGTTTTCATTTGTTTGTAGTGTGAACCTTCAGTGTTCTGCTCCTTTCTAGCTCTATTGAAAAACAGGCTACCATATTGTTACTTGTAGTCACCCCCCTGTGGAGTAGATCACCAGCATTGGTTCCTGCCCTGGAAGTGCAACTTGGTACCCATTACCATTGCCAGCCCATGCCCTCTCCTCCCCACAGCCTCTGATAACCACCACTGTACCTTCATTTCACTTAGATAATTCTTTTTTAGCTTCCACTTGGGTGAGATGATGCAGTGTTTGTCTTTCTCTGCATGGCTGATTCCATTGGATATAATGTCTTCCAGGTCCATCCGTGTTGCCGCAAATAATGTTATGTCATCAGTTTTTGTTCATGGGGCGCATTTCATTGTGTCTGTATGCCGATGCTACTTCATCTCTTCCTCAGTTGATGGATGGGTAGGTTGATTGCATATCTTGGCTATTGTGAGTAGTGCTTCCTTCAACCTGGGAAGGCAGCTATGGCTTCCATATAGTAATTTCACTGTCCCTAAGTATTTTATATTTTTAGTAGAGACACAGTTTCACCATGCATGCACATACACGCTGTTGGAATTGCTAGATGAAACGGTAGCTAGCTTTGTGATTGTTTGGGAAGCTCCGAGAGGTTTTGTAGTGCCTATGGTAACAGTGATTTCTCCCAACAGTGTATAAGAGTATCTGTGTATGCAGCTCCCCCTGGGGTATTTGTTTGAAATAATTGGTTTCTTTTTTTTGTCTGAATTAGAGTGAGTTTGTATCTGAGTGTGATTTTCATTTACAGTTTAGAGATGATTAGCAATGTTGAGAACCATCTTTCTTTTTTTTTTTTTTAACCTGTTAGTGAATTGCATATTTGTCTCTTCAGTAACGTCTGTTCAGGTTTGTTGCCCAGTTTTGGCTGGGTTACTTGGTTTTGGGTGTTTTGTTTCTCAGTAGGGTGTTAGTTTCTTCCAAATGTCAGATAACAACTGCTTTTAGATGCAGGATTTATTGTAATGTCCTTTCTGTTTGAAGAATGTCTTCTGAGTGTTGGTTGGTGCGTTGTTTTCTTTACTGTGCAGAATTTCTTCAGGTTTTTTGTGTCTTTATTTCTTGATTATTATTTTAGTTAGTGGTAATTTTTTATTTTTATTTTTCCTTTTTTGGGGGGGAGTTTTGCTCTGTTGCCCAGGCTGGAGTGGGGTGGCACAGTCTTGGCTCACTGCAACCTCCACCTTCCGGGTTCAAGCGATTCTTTGTCTCAGCTTCCTGAGTAGCTGGGACTACAGGTGTGCGCCACCACTCCTGGCTAATTTTTGTATTTTTGGTGGAGACACAGTTTCACTATGCTCCTGACCTCAAGTGATCTACCCACCTTGGCCTCCCAAGATGCTGGAATTACAGGTGTGGGCCACAGTCCCCAGTCAGCAGTGATTATTTTTGTAAGGTAAGGTCAATAACAAAAAACTAGAATTTTTGACTTCTATTATTGGAAGTGGTTTTTTTTCTGTTTTTATTTTTTCCTATTGTTTTCTTTTACAACCTGCCAGGTTAGATTCAGGTTTTCCAAAACTTAAGCTCACTCTGTGTTTTCCTGTAGCAGTTTTATGCTTTTGGGTCTTGTGTTTAGGGTTTAATGTATTTTGAGTTTATATTTGTGTATTCTCCCAGTCTTTAGGATGCCTTTTTTTGTTTGTTTCATTGTTTTCCTTTCCCTGTAGAAGTTGTAAAGTATCCCTAATCTCTCATGGTTATAGTTTCATATGTTAGCAGTGATTTTTGTGTTCAACACCCTACTTATACAAAACACACACAAACACGCACACACACAGCCAAGCCTTGCATTGTCTGTGGGTGTAGTTTCCCTACCATTTTTTTTTTTTTTTTTAGTAGAGACAGAGTTTCACCATGTTAGCCAGGATGGTCTCAATCTCCTGTCCTCGTGATCCGCCTGCTTTGGCCTCCCAAAGTGCTGGGATTACAGGCATGAGCCACTGCTCCCAGCCTTTTTTTTTCTGAGATGAAGTTGTGCTCTTGTCTCTCAGGCTGGAGTGCAATGGCACGATCTCGGCTCACTGCAACCTCTGCCTCCTGGGTTCAAGCGATTCTTCTGCCTCAGCTTCCCAAGTATCTGGGATTCTAGGCGGCTGCTACCATGCCTGGCTAATTTTTGTACTTTTAGTAGAGACGGGGTTTCACCATATTGGCCAGGCTGGTCTCAAACTCCTGACCTCAGGTGATCCGCCTTGCCTTGGCCTCCCAAAGTACTGGGATTACAGGCCTGAGCCCCCTCGCCCGGCCACTTTTTTTTTTTTTTAATGTTATGAGGCTTTTTTACCTTTTGCAGCATGTGTGCAAAGACACAGGTTTCCTAAAATATATGCCCACTCTATGTTTTCTTATAGGACTTTTACAGTTTCAAGATTGAGTTTAGGTCTTTAATTCATTTTGTGTTGATTTAGTGTATTGTGAAATGTAGGGGTCCTGTTTCAGTGTTTTGCCTGTAGATAAAATCATTGATTGAACCAGACTCTCCCTTTGCCACTGTGTCTGTTTGGGGTTTTGAAAAATGTGTTCCCTACATGTCATGTTGGGTTGAGTATCTGGCTATCTCATTCTGTCCCTTAGGTCCTCGTTCTGTGTTTGTGACAGTTGTGGATTGTTTGGATAACTGCAGATGCTATTTTCACTTATTATTTTCTTTGCTTCTAACCTTGGATTTTTCTTTTTCTTTTCTTTTCTTTTTTTTTCTTTTGAGACAGAGTCTTGCTCTGTGGCCCAGGCTGGAGTGCAGTGGTGCGATCTTGGCTCACTGCAACCTGTGCCTCCCGGGTTCAAGCGATTCTCTTGCCTCAGCCTCCTAAGTAGCTGGGACTACAGGCACCCGCCACCACGCCAGGCTAGTTTTTGTATTTTTAGTAGAGATAAGGTTTCACCATATTGGCCAGGGTGCTTGTGAACTCTTGACCTTGTGATCTGCCCATCTTGGCCTCCCAAAGTGCTGGGATTAGAGGCATGAGCCACAGTGCCCTAACCTTGGATTTTTCTTTTAATGCTTTCTGCTCTCATTATTATAGTTTAAAGCATACATAATCAAGTTAGTTACATCTGTTGATTGCATGACGCTGAGTCTTGGGGTGCCAGCAACCCCATAACATAGGCAGTGAGCAGAGGGTCCACAGGGTGGGTCTTCAGCACACGCTCCCCCTCCCTAGTTTTTTTTATTGGTCATTCTCGGTGTCTGTTGTTCTCTTCTTTATATTTAAGTCCATTCAAAGTTTAGCTCCCACTTACAAGTGAGAACATGTGGCATTTGGTTTTCTATTTGGGCCTTAGTTCACTTATGACAGTGGCCTGCAGTTTCCATCTTCTGGGCTCAGGTGATCTTCCTACCTCAGCCTCTAGATTAGATAGGACTACAGGTGCCCGCCGCCACATCCAGCTAATTTTTTTATTATTGTAGAGATGGGATTTCATCATTTTGCTCAGGCTGGTCTCGAATTCTGGACTCAAGCCATCCACCTGCCTTGGCCTCCCAAAGTGCTAGAATTACAGGTGTGAGCCACTGTGCCAGCATCTCATCTCATCTACTATTGATGGCTAGGTTGATTCCATGTCTTTGACATTGTGAATAACACTGCTATGAACATACGAGTGCCTGTGTCTTTTGGATAGAAGGGTTGATTTTCCTTTGGACAGATGCACAGGAGTGGGCTTACTGGGTGAGAGTGTAGTTCTGTTTTCAGCTCTTTGAGAAATCCCCGATCTACTTTCAACGGTGTCTGTACTAGTGTTTATCCCCTGCAAAAGTGTACCAGCGTTTCCTTTCCTCGACTGCCTCGCCAGCGTGTGTTCTTTGCCTGCGTGGTCCTCATCGTTGTGACCCGCGTGGGATGGCATCTCGTCATGTTTTTGATTGGCAGCTCTCTGGTAATGAGTGAGTTTTAGCATGTTTTCCTATTTGTTGGTTGCTTATTGACTTTTGAGGAGTGTGTGTTCACATCCCTGGCCCGTTTATTAATGGGATATTCTTTTTCTGTTTATTCCTCTGGTTGACTTGTTGAAGGGCCTTGTAGATTCTGCATGTTAGACGTTGGTCAGAGGCACAGTTTGGGAACGTGTTCTCCCATTCTATATGCTGTCTGTTTACTCTGTTGTAGTCTCTCTTGCTGTGCAGCAGCTCTTTCAGGTGTTAAGTCTGACTTGTCAATTTTTGTTTTTGTTGCCGTTGCTTTTCAGGACTTAGCCATCTAAATGCTTTGCCAAAGCCTATGTGGAAAAGGATATTTTACAAGTTTTCTTATAAGATTTTAATAGTTTGAGTTTTTACATTTAAATCTTTCATTCATCTTGAGTTCCTCTTTGTGTCTGGTGTGAGGTAGGGGCCCAGTGTTATTGTTCTGCATATGGCTAGCTGCTTATTTCAGCACCGTTGATTGAATAGGGTGTCCTTCTCCTTTTGCTTACATGTGTGGATTCTATGTTAGATCAGATAGTTTTCAGTGTGTGGTTTTACTTCTTGGTCCTCTCTTGCGTTCTACTGCTCTGTGTGGAAGTGGGTCCCTGGCTTTTCCCTGAAATTTGAAATCAGGGAGTAATGTATCCAACATAGCCTGGATGTCTCAGGATTGCTGAGGATGAAACTCGGGGCACTTCATGGTCCCACATAAATATTAGCAGCGCGTATTTCTATTTCTTTCAACACATGTGTTGTATAGTAAAGGAACAATACAATGAGAGGATAGAGTGGGGCGTTTTGGTCCATGCATACATTGTGGAATGATGAAATCAGGGTACTTAGTGTTTCTGTTACCTTTTCCCATTGTTTATTCCTTTATGGTGAGAACCTTCAGTATTCTCCTGTCAAGCTGCTTTGAAAGTGATGTGCCGATACTGTTAACCCTGGTCACCCTGCACTGGAATAAAACAACAGAGTTTTCCTCCTCTCATTTATGTGTAACTTTATACCCTTTTACAATCCCTGCTCATTACCCCTCTTTTCTCCCAATCCCTGGAAACCAATATTGTGCTCGCCAGGTCTTTGAGATAGAGTTTCTCAGATTTTGCATGTGTGAGATGACTCAAGGTTTGTTTCTCTCCCCCTCACTCATTTAATTTACCCACATGTTTTCCAGGTGCAACCGTGTGGTTCTCCACGATATGATTTCATTGTGCTTTTCTGTGTGAAGAGTATCCCGGTGTGTACATGTGGAGCAGCTTCTTTCTCTCTTTGTCTGTGGATAAGCAGGTAGGTTGATGTTTACACTGGCTCTTGGGAACAGTGCTGGAATCCACATGGGTGGGTAGATCTATCTTTGGTGTCCTGATTTCAATGGCTTTGAGTGTATTTCCAGTAGTAGAATTGCTGGTTGAAGTGGTAGTTGGAGTCTTTTAAGGTTTGGAGGAACCTCCAAGTGGTTTCTGTAGTGTGTGTACTACTTTACTTTCTCACGAACTGTGGAGAAGAGTGTCTCTTTCTCTCTCTCTCTGGAAACACACACCAGCATTTGCCTTTCTTTCAATGTTCTTTTGTCTTTTTTTTGTTACAAAAAATAAGATGGTGTCTAAGTGTGGTTTTGATTTACATTTTGCTTGTGGTTAGCGTTGTTTGCCAAGTTATTGTGAACTTGTTTCAATGTGACATGTAAGACTGGGCAAAGGACCTGAAGACCTGAGATGGATGCACAGGTAAAATATTCTGAATCAACTTACTGATCCTCATGAGAAGTCAATCAAAACCACACTCAGATGTCATCTCATTCTGGTGACAATGAATGTTACCAAAATGAGATAGTAATTTCATTGCGGTAGAGTATGTGTGTATAACCAGCGGGTACAAGGGACATTTTGATCTATGTAAACGTAGCATCATAATGAAGTCGCAATGTCTGGCATCTCTGTGAGCTCCAGACTTATGATTTCTCTGTGGAGAGAATATTCACAAGTGACCTTTGTAGCTGTTTTGAAAATTTTGGTTTTCTGTTCTTGCCTTTTGTTCATAATGGCCTACAGCTCTGTCCAGGTTTCTGGTAAGGGCATGGATTTGTTTTTTATGGCTGTGTAGTGTTGCGTGGTGTGTATGTACCACATTTCCTTTCTCTGATCCACTGCTGATGGGCACCAAGGCTGATTCCGTGTCTTTACCATTGTGAGTAGTACTGCCGTGAACACGTGAGTGCATGCGTGTTTTGGATGGAAGGATTTTCCTTCGGGTAGATCCTCAGGAGTGGGGTTGCAGCGTTGGGTGGTAGTTCTCTTTTAGGTTCTTTGAGAAATGTCCACACTGCTCTCCAGGGGGTCTGAACTAGTTTGCATTTCCCCCAACAGTAGACCTGCATTTCTTTGCTCATCTTCCCCACCAACCTCTGTTGTTGTGGACTGTGTGTCATAATTGCCATTCTGACCAGTGTGAGATGGTATCTCAGTATGTTTCTGATTTGCATTTCTCAGATGATCAGTGAGATCGAGCATGTTTTTATTCTAATTGGTTACTGGTACACCTCCTTTTAGTGTGTGTTCATGTCCCTTGCCTATTTATGATTTTTTTTTTTCCTGATTTTATTTGTTTAAGGTCTTTACGATAAATCCTGGATATTAGACGTTTTTCAGATGCGTAGTTGGGGAGTATGTTCCCTAATTCTATAGGCTGTGTGCTGACTCTGTGGTTGTTTCTTGTACAGCAGCTCTTTTGAGTATTAGGTCCCACTGATCAGGAATTGCTTTTGTTGCCGTTGCTTTTGGGGGCTTGACATATAAATGCTTTGCCAAAGCCTCCGTCAAGAAGGGTATTTGCTAGATTCTCGTGCAGGATTTTTTCATTTCAGGTCTTGCATTTTTATGTGTTTATGTATTTATTTAGAGACTGCGTCTCACTCTGTCATACAGGCTGGAATGCAATGGAGCGATCTCGGCTCACTGCCCCCTTCCGGGTTCAAGTGATTCTTCTGCCTCAGTCTCCTGAGTAGCTGGGCGTACAGGTACGCACCACCATGCCCGGCTAACTTTTGTTTTTTTTATTAGAGACGGGGTTTCACCGTGTCAGCCAAGCTGGTCTTGAACTCCCGACTTCAAGTCATCTGCCCGTTTTGACTCCCAAGTGCTTGGATTCCAGGCATGAACTGCCGCGCCCAGCCCAGGGTTTTGCATTTCAATCTTTGATTCATTTTGAGTTGCTTTCTGTACATGGTGAGACATAGGGGCCCAGGCCCAGTGTTATTTCTTCTACATCTAGCTAGCCACTTATCCCAGCACCACTTACTGATAGGGAGTCCTTTCTCTTATTTTTGTTGATTTTTTTCAAGTGTCAGATGGTTTCAGGTGTGTAGGTTTATATCTAGGTCTTCTAATCTGTTCCACTGTTCTGTGGAACTGGGTCCCCAGCTTTTCAGTGAAAATGCCAAGCTATTACATTGTCTATGGGTGTTTCCTTGTTTTAACGTATTTTAAATACCTTTAGCAGCCTACGTGCATGGATTTCTTTTCTTTTTTTTTTTTTTTTTTTTTTTTAGGAGACCCGGAGTCTCGCTCTGCCGCCCAGGCTGGAGTACAGTGCCGGATCTCAGCTCACTGCAGCTCTGCCCCCGGGTTCACGCCATTCTCCTGCCTCAGCCTCCCATAGCTGGGACTACAGGCGCCCGCCACTCGCCCGGCTAGTTTTTTTTATTTGTCTTTAGTAGAGACGGGTTCCACCGTGTTAGCCAGGATGGTCTCGATCTCCTGACCTCATGATCCGCCCGTCTCGGCCTCCCAAAGTGCTGAGATTACAGGCTTGAGCCACCGCGCCTGGCCCATGGATTTCTTTTCTAAAATATATGTGCACCCTATGTTTTCTTGTAGGAGTTTTGTGGTTTCAGAGTTGAGTTTTAGGTCTTTAATGTATTTTGCATTGATTGTTGTGTTGCATGACATAAGGGTCCTGTTTCAGTGGTTTGTATGTGAATATTCAGTTTGCTCAAAATCATCTATTGAACAGGTTCTCTTTTGCCCATTGCGTCTTTTTGGTGTCCTTTTGAAAAATGTGTTCACTATATGTAAATTGGGGTTGAGTATTTGGTTTACTCATTCTGTCCACTTTCTTAGTTTATGCCAATAAAATATTGTTTGCATAATTATAAAAGTTTGTATTTTTCATTCATGTTTTTAGCTTCTAAGTTTGTATTTTTTTAACATAATTTCTATGTTTATTATAGACTAAAGCATACAAAGGCAGATTAGTTACTGCCTTTGGTATATTGCATGACACTGAGACTTGGGGTCCAAGCAACCTGATCATGCAGGCAGTGGGTGTACCCACCAGGTAGGTCTTTAGCCCATACCTCGTCCCTTCTTCCTTTTTCATCTGATAGTCACTAGTGTCTGTTGTTTTCACTTTTACGGTAGGGTGTATTCAATGTTAGCTCCACCTTAGAAGTGAGAACATGTGGCATTTGGTGTTCTGTGTTTTCCTTATTTCTCATTAGATAATGGCCTCCAGCTCCTTTCATGTTGCTGCCAAGGACATGATTTCCTCGTTTTTTTTTTTACGGCTGCCTAGTGTTTTGTGGTATGTATGTACCACATTTTCCTTTTCAGATCCACTGTTGATGGGTACCTAGGTTGATTTCACGTGTTTGCTGTTGTAAATAGTGCCGTCATGACCGTTTGTGTGCATGTGTGTTTTGGACAGAGGGATTTATTTTCCTTGTGTATACCCAAGTAGTGGGATTGCTGAGTCAGATGGTAATTCTGGTTTAAGTTCTTTGAGCAATCTCCGAAGTGCTTTCCATGGTGTCTGAACTACTTTTCATTTTCACCAAAAGTGGACCAGTGCCCCCTTTCTCTGCTGTCTTGCCAGTGTCCTTTTTTGTTTTTAACTTTGTAATCGCCATTCTGACCAGCATGAGATGATATCCATTGTGCTTTTGATTTATATTTCTCTGACAATTAGGTTGAACATGTTTTCACTTTTGTTGGTTGCTTGTACTTCATCTTTCGAGAAGTGTGTGTTTATATCCATTGCCTATTTATTAATTGAATATTTGGGGAGTTTTGCTAATTGATTTGTGTAAGGTCTTTAACGTAGATTCTGGATATTAGACCTTGGTCAGGTGCATAGTTTGGGAACATTTTCTCTCATCCTGTATGTCGTCTGTCTACTCTGTGGGTAATTTCTTGTGTTGCGTGGTGACTCTTTAGTGTATTAGGTCCCACATGTCGATTATTGCTGTTGTTGCAGTGTCATGTGGGGTCTTAGGCATATAAATGCTTTGTCAAAGCTAATGTCGAGAAGGGTATTTCCTAGGGTCTCTTGTAGGATTTTTGTACTTTGAGGTCTTCCATTTATATCTTTCATCTGAGTGAACTTTGGTACATGGTGAGAAGTAGAGGCCTAGTGTTACTTACTCTTCTGCATATGGCTCGCCATTTATCCCCAAGACTGTTGAAAAGAGAGTTCTTTCCCCATTACTTATCATTGTGTATTTCATCCAGCATCAGGTGGTATGAGGTGTGTGAGTTTACTTCAGGTTCTCTGTTCTCTTCCACTCATCCATGTGAAAGCAGGTCCCTAGAGTTTGAGTGAAATTTCACATCAGGGAGTGTGATGCCTCCAATGTAGTTTGGATTTCTCAGAATTTCTTTGGAAATGCCCTGCATGAACTTCAGCTCACATGAACTTCAGCATTGTTTCTTTCTATGTACTTAAAAACAATTTGTCCTGTAGTAAAAGTATACGATTAAAGAGCAGAGTGGGACATTTTGATCCACGCATATATACCTTGTGTAATGAGGAAAGCAAGGCATTGACTGTCTCTATTACCTTGTGTAGTTATTATTTATTAGTTCTCTGTGGTTGCAATGTTCAGAATCCTTCTTTTCAGACTTTTTTGGAAAATATGGTAGGATACGGTTAACTCTAGACATCCTACTGTGGAATAGAACAGCTGAATTTATTCCTGTCATCTGAGTGTAACATTGTATCCATTTCCCAGTTCCTGCCCGGACTCCCCAACTCCCAGCCTCTCTTCACCACTGTGGAACTTTCTATGTCTAGGAGATAAGGTCGTTTAGAGAGAAAGTTGATCTCATTCTCACATGCATGAAAGCATGCCGCGTTTGTCTTTCTCTTCCTGGCTTATTTCATTGAAAGTCATGTCCTCCAGGTTTCTGTACGTTGCTGCAGATGACATGGTTTCATGAATTTCTCTGGCCGAAGAGGATGCCATTGTATACTGCAGTTTCTTTATCCCTTTATCTGTGCATGAACAGGTAGGTTGATTGGATACCTCCGCTATTGTGCATAGTGCTTCAGTCACCATAAGAAGGCTGATATCTCTTCAACATAACAGATTCCATGTGCTTTCTGTGTATAACCAGTGGTGGTATTGGTAGGTGAATGGGTAGTTGTAAAATGTTTAAGGCACCTTCAACTGTTCCGCTTCGTGTGTATAGTAATGTACATTCTCACCAATAGTGTATAAAATCTCTTTTTCTGCATTTCTACATTGGCCACTGCCTGTGAATGTATGGGTTTTTTGTTGTTTTTGGTAAGTTTCATTCTAATTAGAGTGAGAGGTATCTGAGTGTGGTTTGCACTTAGACATGTGTGTGAGGATTAGTGAAGTTGAGCAACTTCTCTGTGACCTGTCAGTCAATTTCGTGGTTACTTTTCAGATGTGCCTGTTCAGGTTCTTTGCCCAGTTTTAGCTTGGGTATTAGGTTTTGTTCATTTTCCGAGTTAGAGTAGTGTTAGTTTCTCATACATGTTAGATTGCAACCCCTTTCACAGATATGATTCTGCTGAACTTTCTTTCAATCTGTAGGATGCGTTCTTTTTTTTATTATTATTAAACTTTATGTTCTAGGGTACATATGCACAATGTGCAGGTTTGTTACATATGTATACATGTGCCATATTGATGTGCTGCACCCATTAACTCATCATTTATATTAGGTATATCTCCTAATGCTACCCCTCCCCCCTCCCCCGAACCCACCACAGGCCCCAGTGTGTGATGTTTCCCTTCCTGTGTCCAAGTGTTCTCATTGTTCAATTCCCACCTATGAGTGAGAACATGCGGTGTTTGGTTTTCTGTTCTTGCGATAGTTTGCTGCGAATGATGGTTTCCACCTGCATCCATGTCCCTACAAAGGACATGAACTCATCAGGATGCCTTCTTTAATGGTTCGTTGTTTCTCTTTCCCATGCGGAAGCTCTAAGATGATGTATAGTCCCATGTGTTTGTGTTCACATTTGTTAGCAGTGATTTTTGTGTCCCATCCAAAAAGAACAAAAAATAAGAAAGAAAAGTATTGCCAAATCAATTGCATGGTCTAAGGGTTTCTTGCCATAGATAATTTTTGCTTTTGTTTTCTTTCTTTTTTGCAAACTGCATGCATAGATAACAAGTTTTGCTGAAATACACACTCCCACTTTTCTTATAGGAGCTTTGCGGCTCCAGGACTGGATGTAGGTGTTTATTTTATGTTGATTTGGGGGCATTACCTGTTTCAGACCCTGAAATGTTGACTTCTTTGGCTTATTTTTGTCTGATATACCACAATGGGGCTTGTGTTCAAATTAAGCTGTGGGACATCCTTTAGATACTGGGTTCAAACAATTCTCTCCTTCCTTGATACTCACTTAGGGGAGAGGTGTCAGAAAGTCTGGGAAGATCCACAGTGGAAAAAGTTTATCTGTATTTCATAGTGACTGATGGCCAGCTCCCTTCTGCCCAGGACTTCTGGAGAAGGCCAGCCATACCACTTGCTTAAATACCTCCCATCTCCAGCCCTTCAGTAAATATTTAAGTGATTCATTAAGTATTTACAACTTAAAAAAGTAGAGTAACCCAGTCGAACTTGAATTTAACTAGAATTTAAGTTTGAGAGTAGCTGGTCAGTAAAACAAGTGTGGTAGATTGGGTGACACATTATGGTTTTTAAGGGTTTTTTTGTTTGTTTGTTTTGTTTTTTGTTTTCCTTAAACAAAGTTAACAATAATTAATTTGAATAAAGAAGGAAAAGATTAAATGGTTGGCGTGTGTAATGCGAATGCTGTTCCATGACTTGTTCAGCCATAGCCTCAATCTGACATGCTAGACTATGAATCCTAAAGACTGGCATACGGTTACTGCGCTGGAGTTACTGTTCTCATTCAACAACTATAGAACATTCTGAATAGTGTTTTAAAATTTTATTTTATGAAAGTTAAAAAAAACCTCTTACTTATACACTAAAGAAAATAAAGATAAAATGGTCTCCCGCCTGCCTGGCAAAAGTCCCATGGCCTGACCCTGGCCAGCAGGAGCAGCTGGTTTTGAAGAGCAGGGGCCAGATGCAGCTGAGCTGCCAGCCACCTAGATGTCGTTCCCTGGTGTCACGGTCTGGGTGAAGGATGGTGCAGAGCCGGTGTTCTGGCCAGCATCCCAGTGCGGCCCCAGCCACTGCAGGATGTTTCCAGCCTACTGGGATTCGGGCTCCAGCTGGCAGGACAGCTTGTAGCTGCAGGACAGTGAGGCAGCTGTGAGGCCACCATGCGTCACACTTCAGGTCCCCTCTCAGTGCCTGCCCAGCTGGAATCCTGGGTCCCTAGCGGTCCCCATGCAACAGGGCTTGATGCTGGCTGTGGAGTCATGGCCACAGGCTCTCTGCTGCTATCCACAGAGAGCCGCCTCTAGGCCAGGTGGGGTGGCTGACACCTGTACTGTCAGTACTTTGGGAGGCTGAGGTGGGTGGATTGCTTAAGGCCAGGAGTTTGAGACCAGCCTGGACATCATCATGAAACCCCACCTGTACCAGAACAACAACAGGAGAACAACCGGACATGGTGGTGAATAGCAGTAGTCCCAGCTGCTTGGAGGCTGAGGAAGGGCTTGAGCCCAGGAGGCAGATGTTGCAGTGAACAGAGATGGTGACACTGCAGTGCAGCCTGGGCGACAGAGCCAGACCATGTTTAAAAAAAATGGAGAGCCTTCTCCCACCCTCTGCCGATCTCCCAGGCCCTCACCTCTCCTTGTCACTGAGCTGCTCCATTCTTGAGAAACAAGTGACAAATTTCTCCAGAGGCCGAAGTTTGTAATTCATGGCAGCCACTTGGAGCAGCTGCATTTCCTGCAGAACTCGGACCTCCTAGAGACAGAGGGCAGGATGCTGACAGGGCCTGGGTGGAAGATGCTGAGGGGGCCTTTGACAGGCAAGGAGAAGGGACTGGTCCCTGGGGCCGTTCTCTGAAGGGGCCCCATGCAGCCCCCAGCCTGTTCTCAGAGTTGGATGTAAACAGCCCCTCCTGCAGGAATTGGTCTTTCATTCCAGTGCCTTTCCCACTTTCTCTACTGGGATAGGTCTCCTCCTCCTGTGTGTGTCAAACCCTCCCAGTAAACCTAAGATGTAGAGGATGGAGCCAGGGAGTGTCCTGTCCAGGGTGGACTGTGACGTCCACATCCCCACCCTCAACCAATGTGAGTGCCCCAGCTGCTCACCTTTCTCCTCTTGTTGCTGTTGCCCTGGAAGGCAGACAGAGTCTATCAGAAAGGTCCCTGGTCCTCAACCAGCCCCACCCCATCCCTTCCCATGCTGCATTACTGCCAGGGCCACCAGGGTCAGGGGATGTGCACGTGACAGGACTTGGATCTGTGTCAGGCTCTGGGCTCTAGAGCAGGGGGCAAGGGAGCTGAGGCTCAGGGACACTCTGCCCCAACCCTCTCTGATGACAGACAGAGAAACTGAGGTCTCTCATAGAAAGAAAGCACTCAGTGACCCTGGAACTGCCTGCCCTTGGAAAGGCTCAATTTCACCCTCCTATTACGGGACTACCCCACGAAGAGGCTGAGTCCAGTTCAGCCCACACCTCAGCAGCTTTGCAGTCAGACAGCTCTGCAGCTTCACCACTCAGGGACAGGGACTGGTGGCTGCCATGGAGCCTCCATCATTCCGAGGTGATGAGATGGGCCTGACACCCCCACCCACAGGAGCCGCTGTGAGGCTCTCAGGAGAGGAGGTTTTCCAAGGGCTGAGATCTAAGTGCTCCGTCCAGGCCCGTCTCCTCCCAAGCCTCAGGATCCTGGTTCCCAACCAGCCTGCCCCAGACTGACTCACATCCAGATCGTCCGGGATGGCCGAATCCAACCTGTGTAACTCAGTCAGAAAATCCCCCAGGAAGGGGACCACGCCCTGTGCCATGGAGGGGTGGGGAGGTGGGAGGGATAGTGGTGATGAGTATTGGTCCTCAGGTGCCTGCCCAAGGTCTTATCCCATGAAATCCCATCAGCCCGTGTCTCCCAGAATCCTCCTCCCCAGGTCTCCCGGTTAGAGCAGCCAAAGACCCTCAGCTGCCTTTCCCAATTCTCTGCCTCCTCTATCCCAGCTGACCTCCAAGTCTAGCAAGCACTCCTAGTTTTCTCTGTGGTGGGATTTTTTTTATTTTTATTTTTTATTTTATTTTTTGAGACGGAGTCTTGCTCTGTCCCCCAGGCTGGAGTGCAGTGGCCCGATCTCGGCTCACTGCAAGCTCCGCCTCCTGGGTTCACGCCATTCTCCTGCCTCTGCCTCCCGAGTAGCTGGGACTACAGGCGCCCGCCACCACGCCCGGCTAATTTTTTCTATTTTTAGTAGAGACAGCTGTCACCGTGGTCTCGATCTCCTGAACTTGTGATCCGCCCGCCTTGGCCTCCCAAAGTGCTGGGATTACAGGCGTGAGCCACCGCGCCCGGCCTATGGTGGGATTTTAACAACTCACAAGGGCCTGTGGTCCCAGCCTTGCCCTTGCCCACAAACACTCTTGGGTCCAGCTTTCCCAGAGTCTTGCTCTGGTCTCTCAAATGGAGGTTTTCCAGGCCCAGTGGCCACAAGAGGACAGGGCTGGGGAGGAAGCCCCTGCTGCCTTGATATGGAGGTCTCCAGCTGGTGGGGAAAGCAACCCTGTCCTCTGATCCCCTGCAGTCCCTCCATGCCACAGGCTCACTCACCTTATTCTGCCTCCGCAGCCTCATCTGGGCTCTCTGGGGGTTCCTCTCCTGCGTGGCCACCTTAAAGATCCCCGCCTGCCAGATGTCAGTGATGGAGAGAGTGAGGCTCTCCTCCCTTCCCCGAGTTACACCCCAGCCACCCCGCACTTGGATCCCCAGGGACTGGCGTGAGTCACCTGGCACAGTGCTGATAGGACTGGCCCAGCCCCACACTCCCTGTGTGTGTCACCCAATCATGCAGCCAGGCCTCCCTGTGACTGTTTCCTCTTCTGTAAAGAGCCATGAAAACCACAGCTACCTCACAGGGCCTCCTGAGTGCTCAGTTACCTGTAGCTGTTGCCATTGTTCTCCCCCTCATCCCTCTGAGGAAGAACCAGGCACGAGCACCCTCAAATTGCTTTCTTTTCTCCAACCTCATTTCCACCCTGTGAGGCCCGCACTACAGGCTGAGCATCCCTTTATTTTCCAGATGAGGAAACAGAGGCCCTGAGTGGGCAGTGACTCCCCAGGGCCCCAAAAGAGAGGGTACCTCCATCCCCTCTTGGAGTCTCTGTCTCGGCTGCCTTCACCCCACATCCCAGCACCACCACCCATCAGGGTCGTGTTCTCTGGAGTCTCTGAGTGTCTAGGTCTCCAGCCAGGCACAGTCGTGATGGGAAAGGGACAGGGAGGTTTAGGAGACCTGGTTAAGTGGCACCTGCCTATCTGAGCCCCACTGGAGTCTCTGCCACACAAACTGGGTTTGAGCCATGAAAAAGGTTTTGCCTCGCCAATGATCCCCCAGGGGAGTTCCGTGCACAGAACTCTCTCTTTCTCCACTCAGGAAGTGGCCTCCTGAGCTGCCATCTCTGACTGACATGGCAGGCTTTTCCAGAATCCTGGGTGGGGTGACATGTTGCCTTCTCATTTGCATGGAAGATTCTGAGATCTGGTCAGGGAGTATCGCCGAGGTATGCATGAATTCCCCAGATACTTGTCATGAGCATGTGTCACTGCTAACTGGTGAGAATCCTGTGACATGACCATTTTTGGGTGTCTACAAAGGGCAGAGCAGGGAGTCGCAGCAAACACGTACATCTGTCCCGAGTATGCCCATTGATACTCAAAGCTGGGTGGTCCACTGGACTCCCTGGCACATGAACTTCCTCTGTTGTCATTCTCTCTTTTCCCCAGTGCGGATAGAGGCCCCCTGCCCATGGAGGTGCGCTGCAGACAGAAGCAGCAGCAGAGGCCTGGCTTCCTGAGGAATTGCTGGTCAGTTTGAGAAAGGAAGAAAGTCCCACCTACCATGACCACCCCTCAGTGTGGAGGAAGCTCCATGCCAGCAGCATGGACCAGCATGGGAGCCAGAGCCCTGCTAATGCTGCAGCTCATCACCCCCGCTCAGAAACCCAGCAGCCATTGCCACATCCCATTTCCAGGGCCTCCTGTCCCTGTGCCCCCATGTGCCCATGGACCCTCACACCTCTCTTTCTGTTGGCCCAAGGTAGGCATAGAGGGTATTTTTGAAGTCCACTTTTAGTATGTAAGTCAAAACAAAATAACCACTGCACACTGGGTCCAATGCCCTTCCAAACCCACTCTTGCCTCTGACCCTTAAACACTTGTCCCGCATCTCCCAGACTCCACTGTACCTTGATCAGCAGGTCCCTCTTCACTGCAGTGTCTTTTTTGCTGAGTTCTTTTAGATATTTTGAGCTTTTTCTATGGACAGAGGAAAGAAAGAAGGGTAAATTTGGGAATAATCAGGGAGATTTGTGAGTTGCAATTACTTTTATTTGAAAACCCAGTGAATCCCAACTTCCTGGGTGAGAGTTTTCAGTGGGGTCCTCTGATGACAAGGGCTCCAGAGGACCAGGGTGGGATGTCTCATGCTCCTCCCCTGGCCCATCTCCACTTCACATGAGCCCCTGTGTGTTCACAGTTAGCTTCCAGCTGGACACAGTTCCACTGCTGGGTACAAACACCTGAAAGCCTCCAGTTGGCTCCAGTCTGTTCCTGATGGTTAAAAATCCTTAGTCCTGAGTTGGAAATCTTTGCCTAGGAGTCCAGGGTAGCTTAGTGACCACACCCACCAGCCCATCCCTGCCTCCAGTGTCCCTGGTCTCCAAGAACCTTTCAGAGTCACTGAGGACACATGGGGAGACCTATAGGTCCCTAGGTCAACCCTGGTGCTCCCGTGGAGAGAGCCCTCCTCACCTGGACACTGCTGCCCACATCTTGTGTAGCCGATGTATTGGGTTGCTGCGCAGAGCAGAGATGATGGCGTGTACTGAAGAGAAGTTGTTGAGGCTTAGGCACTCCTGGAGAGGGAAGAGTGAGCTGTGAGGTCCAGAGTTGGAGTCCAGCCCACTTCAGCCTCAGCCCCCTCTGCTGAGATCTCCCTTCCTGGACAAAGCAGAGGCCCAGGGAGCCTCAGGAGGGCACATCTGGGGCTAAGTGAATGTCACTCATCTAAAAGAGGAGTTTTGTGCAACCTAAGGAAGAGCCCAGGTTGGAAGTGAGCAGCCACCACTGGGCCATGGGAGTCAAGGTCAGGAAAGCTCTGGCAAGAAGGGCCTAGGGGATGTGCAGGGCTCAGGCTAGAGATACAGATGCCAATCCTGAAAGCTGAGGGAGGAGAAGAGGCAGTTCCCCATTTTTAGAGAGGGAATCCCAAGGCCCAACCATGGCTTACCCTGGCCACCTTGATCCAGTGCTCCACCACCCTGGCCCTGTCCCGGGCCCTCATGCTGTGGTCCCCAAGGCAGGAGGTGGTGACGCAGTTGGTGAGCCTGTTGAAGTGTGCAATGGTAGCACGAACTGTGGGTGCCACATGCTCACTCCCCTTCTGATGTCGTTGGCCCCAGATGGAGCCCAAACATTCGTAGAGCTCCACCTTCTTGAACAGCTCCTTTGAGGGAGGAGGAGAGTGTCATGGACACAGCACACACCAGCTCAGAGTCACCCACAGTCCCAGGCAGGGACTGAGCTCACAGTCATCCATGGTCTCTGGCAGGAACCAAGCTGGAGCTCTGAAAGCTTTAAAATATGCTCCAGACTTGTGGGAGTCCCTGGGTTTGGTCTTCTGCCCATCAAGGCCCCTGAATGCATCATGGCCAGAACCCAACAAGGGTGGGAAGAGAGAGTGACATTTTCTCCCAGGCAATCTGCATTCCAAGAACTAGAAGGCCAGCCATCCTGAGACCTTGTCTTCCTCCCATCCCAATCAGCCCTCTACTCTTTCTCTCCATACCAGTGCACTTTCCTTGTGGCAGCTGTAACTGTGGGCTCTGTTTGGTTGTCTGCCATAGAATCTAGTATGCATCAGGTACCTAATAGGTGCTGAGGGTAGTGAGGCTCCTAAGCAGTTGGGTGAGTGACCCATGGCCCTGCCTGCATCTCAGTGAGCACCTGCCCTGTCCTGCTTTCTGTCCATCCCCTGTCGTTCAGTCTGCACAGTCAGTCTGTGCAGCTGGCACAGGCGATGTCCCGTCTCTGCTGTCCACATGCAGACAGGGAAGGCTTGTGGTTGAGGAAACTCATCCAGATCCCATGGTTGGTAAGAAGTGGGGCTGAAATTGGACCCAGGGCATTGGCCGCTCCTCAGGGAGAGGCTGGTCTGAGACAGCTGGTGCCAGAGGCACAGCCTGCAAAGCCCAGCTGCTCACCGCATCTATGAGGGTCAGCTGCTCAGCCAGCAGCCTGGGAGGGAAGGTCGTGATGTCCGGCAGCTCCTCAGTGTGTTGGCTCTGGACAGTCCCGGGACAGGGACAGGGGGCCTCTGGGGCTGACTGTGGCTCCGGTGATGTCCCTGGAGGGGGCCCTTCCCCTGGTGCTGGTGCTGGTGCTGAATGTAGATATCCTGGTGCACCCAGGGCTGCACCTGACTCTGGCTCCAGAGCAGGCCCCAGGTCCGCCAGCAGTGGTGGTGCTGGCTCCAGGGCCAGCATTGTTAATGCGTGTTGCCCAGGAGGCGGAGCAGGATCTGGAAAAGGAGAAAAGGTCACCACACCAGTCACTTTTCACTGGGCTTTCCAAGCACAGAAATGACCAGATGGAATTTAAGGGAATTGTAGCCCCAAAACACCACCCCCGGAAAGTCTTCCAGACTGCAAGCCACCTCACCATCTGGCTTGGCCTCGTTGGGCTCTGGAAGCACCAACTGGCCTAGGACAAGTTCCTGGTGGTCCTCCAAGCCCAGTCCAGGCCAGGCAAAGTTCCTGAAGGCCAGCTTTATCCGGAAAGATGATCGTTGCGGGGGCTGATAGCAAACTGAAGTGTTTTCAGGGGGCCAGGTGAACAAAATGGAGGTGGTGGTGCTGGTGATGGAGTGGACAGCTGAGTCAGAGGCCTGGCCTTCTCCCACACAACCCTCCAGGGCACCCTTGCATGGTTCTGGGTCCCTGGCCTCTTGCTGCCTGTGTAGAGGACAGCCCCACCCTACCCCAAGCCATCAGTGCTGTCCTGGATGGGGCAGATCTGGCCATGCAACAGGGCTCTACAGACCCTTGTGTGCCCCGGCGTCCCACTGACATTCTCTTTCCAATGGCCCTGGAGCACAGCACTGTGCACCTGGACACTCAAGACTTCAGCTCCAGGCAGATTTGTGAGCAGCTTGCTCATCAAAGCTCCAGCTCTGGGTCCCCTGGTCCTGGGGTTAGGAGGGTAGGGGCAGATGTCAGATGGAGTAGGACAGGGAGAACTGGGAAGCCATGGTGCTGGGGATGGGTCTCTCAGTGGCCAGCTGTGACCCCAGCTTCACCCCTTCTTTTCAGGGGACCTAAGTCTCCATTTACAGAACTCACTATTTGCCTCTTGTAGGAGGGAAGTCCCCAGATGTCAGCTTTGTTGTGGGAATTATAAGACGTATGAACCCCAGGGCTCCTTTAGTCTCTCCCCAGCCAGAGTCCACATATTTCTCCCCATGTTTTGTGGGTGAAGAAGCCCTTCAGAACCCTAAATCCCCCCATTTTATACTTGTTGCTGGGCTCCGTCATTCTAGTCAGAATCTGGGAGGATGCCACCATACGTAGAGGAGGCCATGAGGGTTTCCCCTCTAACATTCTGTAGATATGATTTGTTTATTCTGTCTACTGTGAGCGCCTGACTCTGAGTAGAACTGAGGCCCAGGGATTGTCATCTGCTTTGTTTATGAAATTATGCCAAGCCACAAGAAGAGCAAATGAGTTTTGTATGTATGTGTGGAATGAGTGAACCCCAACCATTGGAGAATCCAGTGAGCATCTCCAGATGTCTGAGTGGGCCTGTGGCTCCTTTTTCAGCACCAAGGGACCCCTCTTCTGTCTGTGTCAAGGAGAAAGACCAGCCAGCAGGAAACTCAGACATCCTTTAGCAATGCCATTGCAGACTTGCTTTCTATGTGCTTTCCCAAACAGCAAGAGATATGGGCCATTGCGGCAGAATGCTGAGAGCTGCTTCAGTGAGTGGGAAGAGAAAAGTAATAAACATGAATCACAGCACCCCTAGCACATTGTCCAGAATTTTAGGCTCTAGGGAACCCTTTGTTTGCCATGTCTTAAATCATTCAGTCCCT